GAATTGATTCTTATAGAAGTTTTTATTGATTTTTGCCAATAAAAATGCTTGCATCATCAACCAATCTGTGTTTGCAGTTTGACCATGATTTGACACAATAAAATGTGGAAGAAATGCTTATTATTTAACTCAGCAAAGAAGTTGCTCGTGTCGTTGACAAATGAGTGTGGCTCTGACACAAACACCACTTGACATTTGTATATGTTAATGAACAAGGCTGAAGTGAACCAGTGAGGATGCATGTAGTAACTTCATCTGCAAAAGACAGCAGGCAGCCCTCTCTCTGCATCATAAAATAGTTTGCAAATATTGTGAGGATTTGCTCTCAAACATCTTCACTACTCACAATGCAGTGGCTGCTACTATGACTTATTACAACTATAATCTTCAACATATTAATAACACTTCACCACTTCATTTGGTTTACTCAACAAAACAATGAGTTAAGCCATGATTTTTGCCCATTCCTCTGGTATAAATGTGCTACCATGCATTTCAAGCTGCCAGAATATGGAATTGGGGAGAGATGTGCAGTAACACACCACTACATAGTATTTCTACTGCACAGATGCAAGAAACAACCCAAACCCACACCATTCTTGAAGGTGGGATAATCAGCTCTCCTGATCAGCCCCACTGACCCCAGCAGAGCCCTGGTTTATACTTCCTTAATCTAGGACTTCCCCTGACATTGCACCATCAAATGTCACTTATAGAGACTTCATTTGAATGACAAAATGAATAGTCCTCATGTCCTGATCTGTAAAATTAGCTGTGAATAAACCTGCTTGTTGCACATTTTCCAAAACCAGTTTTAAGGTCATCCAGAATGCATTCTGAGGATAAGCCTCTCAGTAGTAACATTATCTCTTATGGTATTTTCCTTCTGTGTTGAAACTAACACAAAACATGGGGAATGAAATCATGAACGCTATAGCAGGGAGGTGCCTTAAAAATGAGCTCATCTGGGGCTAGGGTGTAGCTCAGTGGAAGAGCATCATTAAAAAAAAAAAGCTAGTCTATCTTCTCTGCTATTTTCACATGTGTTAACTAAGTTCAAGGAAGCTAATTTACTCAACACAAAGTTGGCACTCAAATCTAAATTTTCCTTTGTCTTACAAGATCCAGGGCTAAATCTTCCCCTGCCTCCAACCCCCACTGCAGACAAGTAGGTCCCTTTTACAACACTGTTTCTGAAAAGTACTTCATGCTGTGGAAAAGAAACTCCCAGTGATGTTTCTATGTCACAAGAGTGAGTCTTTTTCTTCCTCCTTCCCTCCCTCCCTCCCTCCCTCCCTCCTTCCTCCCTTCCTTCCCTTCTTTCTGCTAGTGCTTCTATTTTATTACAGTTTACTACACTTCCTTTAAGGCACAGATCTGTCCATTCCAAGAGTAATCATTTACAAGTTAATAGCAAGTAAACTGGACAGGTCTGTGTTAAACCAGCCAACCCTCAGGCAAATTTCAGTTAAGAACACATTTGATACTTTGAAGGAGAGTGAAAAATCTCAGGTTCTTGTGAACTACTAGAAGCAGAACACTTCCTTGGAAAAGGAGCTCTCAGCCAATCTCATGTTCCCTTTTCTTTCTTTCTGTCAGTTTTCCATCTGTGATATAATACCTGAAATAAACCAACTTAAGGAGGAAAAGTTTATTTTGACTTACAGAGTCAGAGGTTTCATTCCCTGCTCATTTGGCCCTGTGGTGAAGCAGGACATCATGGTAGAAGTGTGTAGCAGAGGAAAGCTGCTCATTTCACAGCAGATGGGAAGCAGAGAGAGGTTGGAAGCTGGACTCCAAATATCACCTTCAAGGGCAGGCCTGCAGTGATATTAATACTTCCTCCAGCTGCTAAAGGTTCCACCCCCTGCCCCTAGAGTCATCAACTGGTACATCCAGAGGATAATGTTATATACTATATATACTGTTATATACCTCTAATATAGTATATTAGAGGTCTGTATGCTTTTATCCATAAGTTTTTAAGTCTTCAAAGCCTTGAAAGAATCTAGCTGTAGATTTTGAGATAGGGTCTCACTGTGTAGCAGCTCTGGCTGGCCTGGAACTCACTATGTAGACCAGGCTGGCCTTGAACTCACAGACATCTATCTACCTGCCTCTGCCTCCCGAATGCTGGGACTAAAGGCATGCGCCACCACATTTGGCCTCATAACTGTTATTTTTTTTTTAAATTGATTTTTTCCAGATATTTTTAAACTTAAAATTTCCAGATAAAGGAGTCTAGGCCTCTTATGGTATTCTCAGCATCCTCCTCTCTTGATGCATAAAAAAATGTGTATATGCAGGTTGGGGCTGTAGCTCTGTGGTACAGTGCTTACTTAGTATGTTCATGGCCTTGAATTCAACCTCCAGTATCACACACAGAAAACTGTGTAATATTTTCTTGATTCATGTTCAACTTTTAATTTTTAAGTTACATTTATTTGTGTGTGTATATGCATATGTGGAGGTCAGAGGATAATTTGCAGAAATCAGAAATGGGTCTTCTCCTTCCATCACATTGGTTCTAGGGATTGAACTCAGGTTGTCCGGCTTGGTAGTAGGTGCCTTTAACCACTGAGCAATCTCCTCAGCCCCATGTTCAACTTTCATTGTTCTTCAAATATATTCATGTTAACTTCAGAAAGGTATTAGTTAAGTTTGGCTCTGGCCTTGATTTAGCTCCAGACCTTTGTACTAGGCAAGTAAGATTTTTAAAGGGATGATGGAGGACTAACTTGCTTCAGGGCTTCATCAATCTGATTTCCCCTTCCCACCACCAATGAGAATGGAAGCTGCTTAGGAAGGCAGGATAGAAAACATCAAGCTTAATTTTGTCCTTGTAGGTGAGTTGTTTGCTTAGTCGTATACTAGATGTCAAGGAAAAATGCTACTTTCTCTTAAATTCATCAGAGAGGAATAGCCTCACAGAGACCAGCTCTCTAAAAATCAAAACTTGAAAAATGACAGGGGATACTCTTCAACCTCAAAAGAAAAAAGGACTTATAGGTGGGAGAGAACAGAAACAGCCTTGTGTAGGAGTGTATTACTATAATAGCCTTGAATTAATAAGCTCTTACATAAGTTACATAATAGAGGAGACCCCCGAGGCACTAAAAAGATGAAAATAGGGCTGGGCGTGGTGGCGCACGCCTTTAATCCCAGCACTTGGGAGGCAGAGGCAGGCAGATCTTTGTGAGTTCGAGGCCAGCCTGGTCTACATAGGGAGTTCCAGACCCTGTCTCAAAGAGAGAGAGAAAGATCTTTGTGAGTTCGAGGCCAGCCTGGTCTACATAGTGAGTTCCAGACCCTGTCTCAAAGAGAGAGAGAGAAAAAAAGATGAACATACACAAAGGGTAGAAAGTGGTAGAGTGGTGTGCGGTTTTTTTATTGCAATTTATCACTTAGTGCAATAATAAAAGCTACCCACTAGCACAACTATTTCAGAAAGCTAAAGTTCACATGCAGTGCTAGTTAAATACCGGAATCCATACATAATGTCTGACCCCAGCTGCCACCTCACACAGCAAATTCTTACATGGGAGCTTTAAAAAGAATGACTGGTCCACTGTCCTACAGCATCAGGAGACCACTTTTGTCTCATGGTTAGGGTTTCCAATGTCTCCCACACTTCCTCCTTTTCAGATGCACAAAAGGTTTTTGTAAAGTTTCTTTTGGTTTTATTGCTGGCAGCTAAAGAAACCATGCCACATGCCTGGTGGAGTTAATAGGGTGTGATTTTGACTAATGTCAGAACTTCTGGCTTTTTAAATATGGCTGAGAATTTCCTTACCAGCTATAAATGAAAATCTGTACTAGTTCAGACACTTTATTGAACCAGTCAACGTATGTCTGAAATTGGCTGGCTGGTGGTGTTTGCTGCACGTCCTTTGGGAGCCATAAGGAATGGTTGTCGCTATCCTTTCATCCACTACTTCTGGTTCCCTCTGGTCCTCCCACTCCCTCTAGAATGTCATTATAGGGTGATCTGTAATCTTCCCAGGATGAAGCTGGGCTAGCACCCTAAGAATACCTGTAGTTGTACAAGCTTAGGAAACATGACGCTCACTAGGGCATAAGTCTCTTCTAAATCTAAAACTGGAGTTTGAATCCCCATTAAGCCCCACACTTTGCACTTTTCAGCCAACTCCCTTCTATGCAAAATACCCATCTTTTTTGCCTCCTTAAGGCTCTGAGGATGGCATGGCTATAAGGCACACAGACACTATGTCACTGTGACTGGATCCCAATTTTCCTGAGGCTAGTCCCGCTCGGGTGCAGGAGGTGTCTGCCTTGGAGCAGGGGTGTCCGGGCAGAGCGCAAAGTCCTGTAGGGGGCGAGCTCCACACACTGTGGTCTTCTTTGGCCCTTGACTGAGGTTCTGCTGAGGAACTCCGAGGGTCCTTCACTCAGGGGTGGGATTGGCCAGCAGAAAGGTGGTGTCCGGGTCAGCGGGGCCGAGAGACCGAGCTTTGGGTTCCCGTGCTCGCCGACCTGGGACGTACACCTGGGCCCCGCGGCGAGTCCGGGGGGGTCGGTGCGCTGCAGGTCGGGGCCCGGAGCGCATCCTCCACCATTGCGCGCCGCGCGCCCCAAGCGCTGAGACAATGCGGCGCGCAGTGGCCAGGGTCGGCTGGCGGGCCGGGGCGCGCGCCGCCTTCCTTCCTGAAGCCTCGGCTTCCCGGCGGCACGGCGGCGGCGAGCGCGCCC